CTTAAAGAAACAACGCAACAGCAGGTGTATAAATAACCGCGGAAATATATGACAACTCAAGCAACGCAATGGGTCAGATCAAATAAACTAAACAAATTTCTTGAGCTATTGGGGCTTCTCTGTGTGCTTCAAGCACAGCAGCAGTGTGGCTCGTGTGGATGTGGACATGTTTTTTCTTCCCGATGGCCGTCCATGGCTGCCTTGGGAAGGCAACAACTTTATCTTGCAAGAACTCATGTTGGTCCATCGGTCCAGATGGGAGAAATTGAGCAACTTGTTACATGTTTTGGCTATCATGGTCGGACTTGTGCGTGCTGTGTTTGCCATCAGTTTTTTGCGACATGGATGCCGATGCGGCCGCAATGCAGCCACAAGCTCGTGATCTCAAAGGCAACATCATGAAGGCTGGTCGAGCTGCAGGTTGGTCGAGGGGTGCCCGTGGAAGTTGGGTCAGGCCAGGCTTGCATGGTGAGTCTGAGTTTTTGTCACCGTTTTCGCTTCTCCTGGTTGACTCCTCCGCGGTTGTCAGTTGTTTGTGGGTGCATTTGAGTGCGGGCAGTGGTCCATCCAACGCGTGTCAATCTGCGGCCACTTCGCTTCTTGACTTGTTCCGATGCAGCTGGCCTTAGCCACAGATGGGAAACCTTGTCTTTCCAATGGAGCCCAATGTTGATTTCAACAAACATTACATTCATAAACTACACTTCCTGCTGCTCAAACATAAACATTTTGTCAAAAACCCGACAAGAAAGGTGCCGACTTTGATTTCCAGGCGTGTGGAAAATGCAAGAAAAGAACAAGTTGCCCTTACAAGCGTGAAAGACCACGTGATGACAGCAAAAGGCAAGGGTGAGGGAAGTCTGAGCGAAGTCTATTTCAATCACGTTTCTTCGACTGCGGGCTCTAGAAAGGCAACCTGCAAATCCTAGAGCGCCCGAAAATCGCCATAGAGGAATTGTGGCCGACACCAACATGCAGCTCCTGAGAAGTGGATCGGGTGGATCCTCCGGCTTCGAATCTCATGTGCTGCCGGCTCTGAGAGTCAGAAGGAGACCGTGCAACGGTTTCTTCTGGTTCAGCAGCAGCCCTGTGCTTTGCTTCGGACGTTGGTCCTTGAGGCGTCGTTGGTCCTTGAAGCGTTGGATGTTCATGGATCAAGCGCCCCCCATGGGTCCCTGCAATAGCAGTCACATTAATGCGAAGCAAACGCTGGCCCGCAGAATGATATGCAAATCCGTTTTTCCCAAACTTTCCAAACATTCATCTCACCATTCACGTTCATGTTGAGGTTTCTTTTTCAGGTTTAAACCTGTTGAACTTCATCTCCAGCGGAAGAATAAGTATATAATTATACTTCCCTCCTGATCACGGCTGCTGCCGAGATCTTGTCCGCCTTGCTCTGAAGGACACTGTACTTAGTCGATTGCTGCCAATCATTTGCAACAAGCAATTCCCAAACACTAATTAAATTGTTGACCTACATTGGGCTACTTGTGTCTCAGAGGCTGCGGGAGGTGTGGGCTGACGACGGTCTCGCATTGCGAGGGAACCCCTTGCCCACTGCGACAAGTGTGCCGGCGCATGACTGCCAATCACACGTTTCCACACAACCATTTGACCAGTGGAGCTCAGCACCTGCGAAATGGTCTTCGGACCATGGTCCTCTCGATGTGTTCGGAGCGATGCCATCCACGTCACCGATGTCTTCGTCGTCTCGACCGACCCAGGTTCGACGACTCGGACGAGACTCCTGGCACCGCCGTCCCCGCGAACCTGACGCGCATGTCGCCCACGGCCCGGTGGACCCGGGGGAACGGGCTGGGGAAGTCGGATGAGGAAGTTGGGAAGTGCGAAGTCGATGCACATGGCAGATGCACATGGCACCCAAGCAAGTCAAGCGGTACCGTGATTTCAATATTGTTTTTCCTTTTTGATGTTCCTAAAGCTGGTGTGTTTCAGCAATCCTGGAGTTAGTCACTACCACCAGAGTTCACCGTTTCAGGAAGAAATCTACACTTGCCTTGTGGAACTTCACATGCCAAGTGTCTTCATTGATGAGCATTCCGAATTCCTGCGAGTCCTACAACAACATCAATCAACAAAATTGCTATTTTGATCGTCTTCTTAATTAATAAGTGATTTTTTCGGGCGTAGCAGCCTGTTGTCTACAGCCCGAAGGGGAAACAAAGGGGGGGTTGGACGACGTACACTCTGAAGACATCCGCCCAGCATTGCACGGAAGGGGAAAAGGTTCCCTGCAACGACATTTTGTCCTCTACAAACAGGAGGTGTTCCATTCAAACCAAAGTGACGTGTTCGTTGTGACCCGGCGAAAGTCCCAAACCGAGACGAAAAAGGCCACGTGAAGGAGCTTGGACAAGTAGACCAAGACCTGATGTTTATTTTGGGGGTGACCCTGTTGCTCTGACTCTTTGTGAGCCACAGACTTAAGTAACACCAACCTCCGACGGATAGAATCGGAACATTGCCAAACGAACATCTGACGCCCAAACACCTAGTTGGTGTTGGAAAGCCCGCCAGGTTCCATAGGACAGTATATATTCAGGGGTGAATGTGGTGAAATCATGTCGAATTCATTCAAATTCAATTTTTGACTCCCTGCGATGTTTGAAACCCCATGAGTATCCAGGAGTCATGGATCCCGACCTGGCCCGAGTGATGGCGAGGTGCGTTACACCACAACCACGATCCGAGCGCCACTGGCTTCGCTACTGGGCTGTGTGTGGTTATGAGGGCAGTCGACCACTGGGTGTGGCAAAGCCAGGATTTGGGCATAATAGATTGAGGAAAGATGAGTTCATGTGCATTCATGTGATATCAGGCGTTGTTAGCTGTACCAGCAATGTATTTTTGAGGCGCCGGATTTCCTTCACGAAATCCCGTTTCCCACTTCATTCAGTTTGCATGACATGAGAGTGTATGTGTTTGGTTCAACAGAGATCGTTGAAGATTCTCTTGCACAGGACCACAGACGTGGCTTGGCCTTGAGAGCCCTGGACTGTCTACCCTCAAAAACCATCATGGAAGCAGAGCCCTGACCCCACCGTAGTTGAGGAACATCCTCTTCCAGAGGCTGAAGCTGTTCCATGTCCATGATTTCAGAGATTGCACGTCCTTAGCCCCAAATCCAGCCGTCCCAGTGCCGACCCCAACTCCAGTCATCTTCCGGCCCCGAGCTCCTTCGCCCAGGCCGATGCGGGTCTCCTTGGTCTCCAGGTCGTTGCCCTCGCCGGTCTCCACCGGGTTCACGCCCACGGGGATGGGGTGCTTTGGCGCGAAAGCACTGGGAGACAGTGACAGGAGCATGATGAGAATCGGGATGATGTTGTAGGCTTAGTCCCTCTTTAGATGCCACCCCCCCCAGAATATGGTTCCACTGAATTCTTTAGTGAGACTTCTTCAGTTGAACCAGCGCAGTGGGGGCAGTTTTCGTCCAGGCGAGGTTCTTTGTGGCGCATGTAGGCGCATGTTATCCTACTCGATCCAGGTCCAAAACATCCTTCACACATCATTCGTACCCTAAACGGACGGATAATGCCAAGAGATGTATAAGGTGGACTTCACACTCCTTCAGCTTCCAACCTTTCTTTGCGAAGCTATTTTCACTTGGGGCTGAGTAATGCAGGGCGTAGACTTCTTTCTGGGGATGTAATGTAGACTGTTGATGAATAAGCCCCTAGTCAGATATTTTTACACATCTTCTTCATCAACCTTCTACACTACAGAGGTCAGCAACAACATCCAAAGGGCTCCAACCTCTTCCAACATTTGGCCAAGACCCTCACCAGCCCCGAGACCCTCACCTTCTTCACTTCTCGGCGACCTCCGTGCTCCGCGCCCAGGACCTCGGTGGCCACCTCGGTGGCCATGGCCGCCCTCTCAACACCGAAGACGACGGTGCCCGCAGCGGCCGCCCGAACGGGGAGGACAACCGGGGAGGACAACCGGGGAGGCGCCGCTTCGGGTGGTTGAGGATCGGATCTGAGGAACAACTATAGTGCGCAATAAGTAATGAACTGGTGAAGGTGCAACATGGTGCAACATCCAACTTTGAGGAATCATGTCTCTAGTGAATCAGTGAATCTGTGAGTGGAGTGGAGTCCAATTAAGTTATATAAATTCCCAGGTCTTGCCTCCAACCTACTAGCGATGGCCTCCACCCTACTAGCGATGGCCTCCAACCTCCTAGCGATTCATCAAGGATTGGGCACCTCTTGGTATTGCAATCTATTGGAGGTCCAGTTGAGGTTCTGAACAGATGTAAACATGCAATTAGGAGTCATAGTCATAGTGGAATATCAAAGCTCAAGTAGAAGTCGATAGAACATGATGAAACTATAGACACTCGTAACATCTCGTACCCTTGACGTGAGTTGGCACATCCAACATAGAACAAAAATTATGTTAAGTTTCCATCCTTGGAAGATCTGGAGTACTTCACGACCCCAGCATTTGCCTCACAAAACGCACAGCTCACCGCTTAGCGTTCTCGCGCCCCGAACCAAGGTGCCGTCCCTGGAAAGCCCGGCGCGGGTGACTCCGACCGGTCCTTCTCCGACCGAAACGAGCCGACGCAACGCCAGTTCCACCGAATCCGGGAGGTTCTTAAGGTCTAAGATGTTCTTCGCTCCACCGGGAGCGCCAGGTGACCTTCAACCGCGCTCCCGGTGGATTTTGGCCGGGGCCCGACCTCCGGGGTCGGAATTGGATGACAGGGCGGATTGGCGGATCGAACGCCGGTGACCTAAGAGGTCTAAGGGGAGAAGACAAGCGTCAGGAAAGCTACACCGTCAGGAAGCAGTCTGTCATCATCAAAGGTCTAAGATCTCATGTTGACATTTTTGGACTGGAGTTGATCATACAACAAGAAGCACGACTCATCAAGAGATGGTAGAAGGATGTAAAAGTTCCAAGTTGTATGGAGTCTTTGGATGATGGTTTTCCGGACTCTCAGACTGGACCTGTAGGCTTCAGCCGAGATGCCACCAGAGCGCCTCTCCAGTGAGGCCTACTTCGCCCGTCTCCGTGCTGCCGACGACACCTGCCAGGGCCCCCCGATGTGGGAGAGGTCCTAATGGTGACCCAGTTAGTGACCCTTAATATATGTATGTGTATATATAACATATATTTTCTATAGTGTACAATAATGTTTTTCTATAGTGTCGGGTTTTCTTAAGGTCTTAGCGCGTCATTGATCATGTTCCATTTGCCTCAGGCCTCAGCATGACTGTTTAGACATTCTGAGAGGTTGGTGCTAATAGATGGTGACCTGTCAAACCACCACGCAGGAGATCACAGGTGACGGACCGTACCCGTGTGCAGTACACAGGGGTACATCATGAAACATGGAATGTTTGAAGACTACTTCCATGTTGTGTTACAGCACAAGCCAATGGATGGGAGGGCTGGTGTAACTCTGCGTAACCTCGTGTCACATGACAAATGGTGCCCAAAATGAGATATCGATGGTCCCTTCCCTGATCCTTCCTTTGTCATCCCCCTAGGGCTCAAGAAGGTCTTTGGACCCTCCCAATCCCACCCTAAACACCTTTTCAGAGGGTACTTGGAGCCCTAGGGTCCTATACCCTTGTCACGAACACCTCCCATGATCGGGTCCCGGCATCGGCTCAGGTGCCCATCGACCGCTCGACGCTCTTACAGGCACGGCAGGTGGCCGTGCGCATGGAGCAGGGCCCACCGGGTCTGGCGATGTCGGGCGCCCAGCGATGTCTGGCGTTGTTCTGCGGATCTGGCGGATGCGGATGTTGGATGGATGTTGGGGGTGACAAGACATATCAAGACATCAACACGCCGGTGCAGCGTTGTCTACCTTTTTTCACAGCTCCCTGGTGGTAGTAAGATCAAACACCATTGGTGCGATTACTGTAATTCATTGGATGCAAATTGTCCCAAGGTAAGTAAAGGAAGCCTCACTCAACAAATGATCACACTCGCAACGGGCTGCCTAACAGGAGGCACCTTTACAAAATGCAACACCTCCAATCCCGACCTCGTATGTCCAACATACGCCCGTAAATAACACACATTGGTCAGGCTCCAAAGGTTCTTAACGGAGTTTCTACTCATCGACTCATGATTCCTTCTTATACTACCAACCCTTTTTTTGCCACCCTTGTGTGGCTTTAGTTGGTATTTTGATTGTGCCCTTTCCAGATCCTTTTCTGTTTGGGTGGCCTTACTGGAAACAAAGGGTTTTACAATTTTATAGGACTTATATAGGACAGGACCTTCTCCCATACGTCCATAGTATGCATAGTTGTTTTTTTAAATGGCGGCAGGGGCTGCTTGCGCTTGTTGATCAAGACCATCTCATCTTTGTCAACAGTATACATTCCCCCATGTTTTAAAGGCATAATAGGTATTGAACAGGCATTGTATGGCTTTGCATCATTCATAATAAACACACACACACACACACATATATATATATATATATACAAATATCATATCCATATACTATGTTTCGTGCGATTGGCTTGATGATTCATTTTGGGCAAGCTCAGATGTTTCACCACATCAAAGATCCCTTTTTCCGGCGTTTCCGATGAGAAAGACTGGCTCCCCAGCGGGTACACTCCGCCAGGCTCCACCAGTTCACATGTCAGTGTTGACCTGGCGGGAACGCATTTACACCCCGACTCAGCTTGGAGACCTTTTTGGGGGGTCTTTAGTCACCAGTCTTCAGCAGAGAGACGATCTGAGGTGGGCACCTACGCCAACCACAAAGGCTGGCACTTGGAGAAACCAAAAGCAGATGTGTGGGGTGGGTGGGCCATGTTCGTGGGCCATGTTCTTACCAACACCACCGATGAAAACCATGATAGGGGCTGGTAGACAGGGGACCCCCTGTTCAGCAGATGTATGTTCCTGTTACAGTGCTCCAAGAGCCGCTGAGGGGGGGTTGATGAATTAAGGACTGGAGATGCTTGACCACCCAAGTACGGTGTGTGTGTGATTCATCCACACTTAATACTAACAGATGAATATGAAAAACACCAGAAACCTGAACACAGGTCTAACGATGCTTCCTTTCTTCCTCCACCCCAAAAAATACAGTACTTCTTCCAACCAAACCAGGGCGCAAGAAGGAGTGCCGCACCGTCACAGGCGAACCTCTTGGGCTTCCGATATCCTGAGCCAGGACGGGGGCGGCCAGGATGGAAATCCACCTCAGCTGGGCCAGGGATGGCAAAAGGGGTGATTGAGGCCACTGCAGGGGAGCAAGCAGCAAGGCATAGATGGTCTACCCCTTGATTGAGTACCAGTCCAGCAAAACCATGCAAAACCGCGCAAAGCCCAGGGTGGTAGATAAAGACTCTTTCTTTTTCCCAGAGGCATGGCTGGCCACCCATCATTCCCAAGGCTTCCTCAACCGAAAGTGACCAAAGAGTCCACCAAAGTGCAAGCTGTTTGTGTTCATCCAACATCGACCTTCCATGTTGCTCGATGTTTGTGTTTATCCAACTTTAGTTAGGCTAGACTGGCAACAAGATTCATCATCCAAGAATGAAGCGAATCATACATCTCTCCGACGGGCGAATCAGTTGCCATGCTTGGGAGTCCGCTGAACCCTGCGGCGCCCAGGATATATGTCAGTGGCACCACGAACACCCGGAGCAGCGTGAGGGAATTGTACAGGAATCCATGGTGCATGCTGCATGTGAACGGGGCTGTTTAGATAGCCCACAGCTGTTTCAAATGCCTGATCTGTTGCAGCACATGACCTGTATTAGAAGCTGCGGCAACTACTTTTGCTATTAATCTTAATCCTTGCCGCTTTTTGCCTGGAAGTGCCACCTCATGGCCTGAGGTACCAATCTTTTAACCTTCCTGGCGTATTGCATGCGATTGGGGTGTAAATTGCACCCTTACTGAAACCAAATTTTCGTGGCCGCTTAGAAATGAATACCCCCATGCGATTAGATGCACACTGGATCCCCATGATCCCAGACTAGGCTAGCCCAGCTACCAAAGAAGCGCCCAGTTGGGCAGACTGCCGCGCGAAACCCGCGCGGCCCTTCTTCACGAGTAAAGTTGCTGGATGGGGATCCGCATCAACTACCGAAACGGGGGTTGTTGCTCCGTGCGCGATCCGAAAACGGTGAGTTGAAATGCGGGGAATGGAGGGGTGTGCCAGAGCGATGTTGGGATACAATGGTTGGTTGGCCACTTTGTCACTTGAAGGGGTCACTGACCTGGAACACTTTGAAGAAGCCGTGGGTTTCTGAACATAGAACATGTTGTGCTTCCTCCTCGATAACCCTTCTATAATCTTCCACGCGACCCTTCCACTGGGGAGTTTAACACAAGATAGCACTTGAATGAGTCTTGGTGAGATTTCACTCCACTGAACCCTCCATTTCATTTGTTCCGACCCTTTTCCCTCTGCGCGCCACCATCTTTATCCTTCAACCCCCCCCCAGACCACGGCGTCGCACCCATCGCACCCGGTCGCGGTCTCGACCCATGACACCTATAGGCAGGTCTACGACGACGACACGGCGGAGCGCTTGACGCTCACCGCCATCGAGGTGGGCTACCGGAACTTCTTCGCCTCGGTGCCTCAGATCCGGAGCGGGCGAGCGTCGGACGGGCGGTTTCCGCGGAGCGGGAACGAGGCAGTTTGAGTTGGTGCTTTTGTTCCCCGCGAGAGAAGCACAAAGAGATCGATGAAAGCGGTTTTTTGGATGATGATGTAAGTTTGGTAGCATTTTGGTGGCCTGTTCCATTGTATTTGACTTTGTGGGTCCAGCTGTAGCCATTCAGGGAACAGACTGAGTCCTCCCCATTTTGAGCACCGAAGCTTCAGAGCTGCGGAGTCGCGGGGGAACCCTAGCCAGGTGCCAAGGGGTCCACCAATGGAAGCCCCTATAGTTTGCCTAAGAACTGCTTGGTGTCCGACGTTGGGGGTTTTTGAGGAGAGGCTGTTCTGACTTGGGAGCAGCGTTGCTCCTGCTTTCAGCCTCAAGAGCCTATAAATCTCCACCGTGTTCGGGTCATGACGGGGGCCAGCACGCCTGGATTCCCGCCATGATGGATGGACGAAGGGCGCCCAGGACTTCTTCAGATCCAACGAAGAGCGCGGGCTCGCCCTTGTCGGCGGGCTCGCCCTCGTCTTAGGCACTGGAGTCACATCCTTTTCATCCGGGGGTGTGTTTGATTCCCGCATACGAGAGGAATCGAACTGATATAGGTGTAGCATGGCCATAGAACCCTCCCCAAAGAAGCGTGCGTCACACATGCGACAAATCGACATCACATGTTTTCCAAGCCTCAGCCTTGGCGCTGTACATCAATCCTCTTTGGACTCGCTCTGACTCGCTCAGTGACGCACCCATTTGACCCATGTCATGCATCTCTTCTATCAGGTGCTCGCAGGCAACCAGAAGGGCTTCGCGCGCGCTATCGAGAAGTCGGGCGTGCCGCGAGATGAGTTCTTCATCTGCGGCTCAGTGCTCAGCAACCTCGCCCAGGCCCAGCTGGCTCCAGGTGTTTCCCCAAATGTGGTCCGGGTGCTGTCCGCATGGCTTCAGTATGAGGTCTGAGTCTAAGCAACATCCAAAGTAGACCAGGTGCCAGGGCGCCTGGTCTTTTTGGTTGGATTTTATTAGTTGCTTTTGGGTACCACCTCACTGGGGCGTTGGGGACTGTGTGCAGTGTGCAGAAACGTGTTGTCAAAAGGTAGTTGGGATATGTTGGGATGGTTTGGGTGTGTTGTGGTGGGATAGTGGCGGGTTGTCAGCGATGTAATTGGAAGGGTCATAACGCTCGGTATCTAATGTCTTCTGTAAACGGATGATCTTCGCGTCATATCTAAGTAAGTTGAAGACAGCTCCATGTAGGTAGGATGACAACTCCACGTGGGTCGGTCAGGTGCAGAATAGGAGGCCCCTTGGCAAGTGATAGGATGGAGTACGGATGAGCAAAGAGAATGGCAAAGTAATTATCGTTGTGGCAACGACGATTAGAATAATGATTAGAGCCACAAGTGTCAAGATTTATCTACATCCTGCCTGATCAACCCGACGGCAAGGGATGACAAGGCTCCATTCTTAATTCCTACCCTTCGGCAGACTAATATGGCCTGAGAATTGGCCCATGGAAGTCATGGAAGACCATTTTTCAGTATATAGCACGGTCGTTTTGGGGCTCCATGTTCATCTCCAGGGTAAGCTTTGTTCACTTCCATGGCCCCTTCGGCGTGGACTGGGACGGTTTTCGTATGTTTTCGTTGTAGAGCACTTGGTTGCGAGGACTTCGAGGATGCGTGGCTTGGTATGGGCGGATGGATTCGTAAAAGACCCCGGGTTCTTTTGATGGGGAACCGAACATCAGTGGACCTGGGGTATGCTGAGGATGCATGATATGCTTGTGGGGTACAGCATTGCCGCATTGCCCCTTTTCAACGAGTGACCAGAAATTTGATCAAGTCGGCCTTTTCCCTTCACAAAAGAGCACAGGCTTTAGGTGCGAGTTTGAGCTCGGCATTGACCATAGACCTGGGTTTCATTAGCCTGAAAAACTCCATATAGAACTGGTCGGCTGCAGTGGTCGATATGTCTGCTAAGCCGCACGTCATCAGTGGCACGAACTCTAGGGATTCGGGTTTGGAGACGTCGGCACGATGGCACCAGCGATGCAGACGTGGGGCCCGAAGTGAATCCAGATCGGAAGACATGGTTTACTGGCAAGGTATATACCTTTTCCTCTTGGTTATTTCCTTATTTTGTGGTGGGCACTGGCATTTTGGAGCAATCTCTTGAGATCATTTGCTGGCAGGTATCTCTCTACCAAGGAGGGCTGCACCAAGAACCTGGAGGCCTTTGCAGCTGGCGGCATCACTGAGCTGGATATGATCTTGTGCCCTGACGTGTCAAACAAACCAAGTCACCCAAAAGGCACCCAGGGCTTCAGGTTGTTGTGGCAAGCCATGGTGGTTCCTACTCATAAGAGCATCAAGTCAAGTTTGCTTCATCCGAAGCCAAGTAAAAACACATGATCAAACCTAGCAAGGAAATGCATGCTGTGACATGTAGTTAGAGTCTGGTGCGACGCCATTCGTTCCGATATGTTCCGATGCCCGATGCCAATCGTTGTGACGATCCCCTGCACGGCACCCGCGTGTGCTCCGAGGTTGGATTACCCAGCCAAGGATTGCGAGACGATCCGCGGGCAGTGGAAGGCCTTTGAGGACACGCTGGTCTTGGGAATCTTGGGTTTTATTAATGCCTGGAACCTGCAGAAGTCTTCAAAGATGGATCCAAAATTCCTTTGCCACCAAAGTCTTGAAACAGGCTGTGCCACAATGTGCCTTCTCCATGCAGAGTGCTCAGGAAGTGCAATTTGGGGCCTAGTGTTGCCCAATCCAACAGCACATTGATGGTCAACGAGTTTGCGGCCTCATGCCAGAAATGAACACACTAGGGCAACAAAGGTGCTGAGGGTGTCCCACTTGTTGTGACTCACTACGCCCAAACGGTGGTCTATTGATGTTTATTGCGCATCCAAAGCCCCCCCCCAAAAAAGCAACGTGATATAATTGTACTCAGATCATCTCAGATCTGTGAAGGACACTCCTGGCTGAGTCACTGCGAAGCCTTGGGAGACCTCATGAAAGTTCCAGATGACCCCATTCACTAAGAATGATGATGTTACAACCACCCCAAGTTCGCAAATGTTCGCACCCGCTGTCGTGTGCTGCTTTAAGACCCTCGCCTGCCAGGAGATGTTGGCGGCGGGGCAAACCAAGAGCCTGGCAGTGAGCAACTTTTCGCCCGAACAACTGGATTGCATTTTGGCCAATCCGGCTCCTTGGATTCAATTTGGGAGTCCACTCAGCCAGGTCATCAGATCCAAGGCTGCACAGAATAGATTTATAAATCATCGGCCATCAACCTGCACATGTTATTGTGCAGTCAACCGGGCCCTGAAGTCAAATTCACAGCGGCTTGTTGTCCCCGGTCATACAATGGTTTGTGTTCACAGCTGTTCGTCAGGTTCGCCCTGAGGATTCGTCATTTCGTAGGACAAAATCTAGTTGGCACTGGAGGGTGGATGACTGGAGCGTTTCACTCCCGAGCTTGCTTTGTCATTTTCCTACCCCGTCTACCTTCTTCTATTTAGTCCAAGTCAATTCTGCAGCTTCAGCCCGTCCCATGCATGTCCCGTGGCCATCCGCGCGAACCGGCAGGATGCTACTCGCCCAGTCTTGAATCAGTTGCCCTACTCCCTGAAGCGGCTCGGCGAAGGGGGCGTAGCTGTTTGACCTGATGTTGAAAGCATCCCTCCTTTTTGTTTGGTGATTTGGTACTATTCCGACCCCGAACAACTTTATTCAGGTATTGGGAATATTCCGCCCCCCTTGATTGTTGAGCATGCAGCATTGTATATTTGGCTCACATGCCCAAAGCACCTAGTCCCTCTACAAATTTACCATATTTACCCACCAGGTCCACTGTTCTAGTGCGATGGTTTCAAGTTCTGGAGGGTTCGTGCAAAACCGAGGAACTATGACACCAAAGTTGTGCAGGACAACGCAAAGCGCACCGTGGCGGCAGAAAAGAGCACAAGTAAGCACACCGTGGCGGCAGCCGCACCCTTTTTGAGTCACTTCACTGGGGTTACATCCATTGGTCTTGATTTTTTGGAGTTCTTTGATCTTTTAGAGTTGGATTTTTACAGCTCAGATCTAAGCCACTTGCCTCAAAATAGGCAGTTGGTCATCGGAGGGCTTCTTGAGCTTAAGGAACTGCCGCGGTTTCATATCCCCTTGCCAGGCGGTCCACGACATTCCATAGTTGCCAAGCCTATCCAGGCCTTGCTTCTGTGCACTCCCTTCTTCGTTTTTAGTGTCAACCTGCAGATCCCAAGATCCCCCACGAAGGAATTGCGCTCTGGAATGTGTCACCCTTGTATGAAACCTTTTGAAAGACCGCGTTACCGCACTGCGTGCTCGCCACATGCCCTGAAATCCCTCGAGCATTCCCGCAACAGTCCGCCACGCCATATCGGGGCCTCCACTGATCCCCTCCATCGGTGCAGCACCGGGTGCAGCTGGGGCTCCCCACTCCGGCCCCCGAAACCCTCGCTCCGCTGCAGGTGGTGTGTTGGTCCAGGCTTGGGGGCCCTTGGGCAGTGGCTCCCTGGGGCTGAGCGCCTCCTCCACCTGTGAGGAGCGGAGGGGGTTCATGCGACCGGAAGCGGATGGAATCATCGTGGGTACCGTGTTCATAAACCAATGAGAAGCATTGATAAGCCACAAAAGCAGAAGCTCCCTGGAGCAGATGCTCTGAATTGGCAGGAGATCGGCATCAAGTATGGGAAGACAGCGGCTCAAGTGGCGTTGAACTTCGGCTGAGCAGATTCTTTTACTGCTCTGGGGTGTTTTGATTGGAAAACAGGTTGGGTCCCGAAGATGTTTGCAAGCACCGGGGATGCGAAGGGCATACACACAGCTCGGCATGTACAGTATATAATATAGACTCACCGTAAAAACCGTTTGACGGGGGGGTTATAAATCAAGAGTCCACATTGAGTCATTAAGGTGAACTTGGACAAGGTATTTAAGTAGGGGCCCTCATTGATCAAAGAGGTCTTTTTTAGCCCGACGTTGTGGACTGCGACGCGCTGTTCGCGAGGCGCTGGATCATTGACACGGGCGCGACGTTCACGACGCAGTCTAAGAAGAAGGCACTCAGTGTGAGCGGTGCAGTGATGTCTTGTGATGTGATGTGATGTGCAGTGCACTCCTCAGGCATTTTTACGCAGGGAGGTGGTGACACCTAAGGAAGGTAGTCGTAAGAGGACAGATTCATTCATTTGGGGGTGGTGGGTAGGCCCAAATTGATTGCAGGAGCACGTGCCATGTTCCTCCCTGCCGATTTGGGCCATTTGCGAGATGCATCCAAGCTGCTCAAACAAGTTGACAGCACTTGGATGCTTTTTGGGACATGCTTGGGCCTAGCTCCGCCTTTTGGGAAGCAAGGGGTGCTTGGGTGTTTGCAGTATACACATGCTTGTTTGGAACTTTGGGTCGGAGCTTGTTAAACAGGTGGGCCGGAAGTCGGTTCCTGTGTGTGTGGTGACAGGAGCACATGCAGGAAGATTTGGATATCTTTGACTTCCAGCTCACCAACGAAGAAGTTTTACAACTGAGCGACATCAGCAACAGTGTTGGAGGACCAAGGTGGGGGGGCGGAACTCTTAGAGTTTCGGGCATTGGGACTTTCCCAGTGCCAACTTGGATTCTGTGGATATGTTTCTTGTCCCCACCTGCCTGCCAGTTGAGGGTTGTTAGATTTTATATACTGTATCACAGCTGTCAACTTCGCCTCCTTCTCCGCTTCTCCTTCTCCTTCCTTCGCTGCGAGCTTCAGAGTGCAGTGGGCACCACCGGACCTGAACTGCGAGCTCCAGATCTCAGTGGGCACGACCGGACCTGAGCGGCAGGCTGCGGCGGGCAGAACTAGACTAGAAAGAATTCCAGAAAGAATACCGGAGGAGATGCCCAATAGATTGCGAAAAATAATGTCATAATAAATGCTATAATGCAAAGTCAGGATTAATAAATCCTCCCTAGTTAACCCAAGCCCACAAAGCCGCCGGAAATTGCTCAAATTAAAAGTAGGGTTGTTGATTTCCCCCCTTATGGTCTAGTTTTCTACCAACAATCCCCCCCAGCTAATCCGAGCCCACAACCAGGTCGATTTTTCGTAATACTACTACTGCTACTACTACTACTGCTACTACTACTGCTGCTGCTACTGCTGCTACTGCTACTGCTGCTGCTGCTGCTGCTGCTACTCCTACTCCTACTCCTACTACTCCTACTCCTACTCCTACTACTACTACTACTACTACTAGTAGAAAGAATATCAGAAAACATGCCAGATAGAATGCCCGAATTGATGCCAAACAGCATGCCAGAATATATGCCGGATAGAATGCCAGAACACATGTCAGATAGAATGCCAAATATATAGATAAAATATGATAAAATGCCGATCTGGCCAAACATTTACAGTATATAGTTATAGGTATATGCTAGATATAAACCCAGATAGGATGCCAAAACAATCCAGAATATCACGAAAGGTAGCCCTTTAGGGGATACCTTGAGTTTGTCTTGCGAAGCAAGTGTTGGGACGTCCGGGTCTAATAATTGATCGCTCAATTCAGACCCCCCCC